TTCTAACACTCCCATGCACTCCGTGCAGGCACGGTGGCGGATCAAGTGCCAGCAGTAAATACGAGGGTTGTTCAACATTAATGATTCAGTCACCCTGTCATGAAGTAAAATGCCGCTGGTCATCCTACTGTCGCAGGTGAGGAGGGGGATGGGTGGGTACTCCGGACTCCAGAGGGCGAGCAGGTGGAGGAGGGTGAGGGCGTGGAGGACCAGCGCGCAGTAGGGGGGGATGAGTTCGGGCCACCTGTCCACTAGGGCGGAGTGGCGGCCTCCTGCCTGGCTTGGGCTGCTTCTCTGAGCAGCTGCGCCAGGGGGACAGGAGGGAGGCTGAGCACGATCGGGCTGGCGGCGGCACTCTTCGGGTGACGGCCAGACTGTGCTCTCTGCAGCTGCAGCTTTGCCCCGTTGTGGGGCGGCCTCAAATTGCAATTGCCTGAGAGTCCACGCGAATTGCCCTCCTTGAAAGAACCACACTTATGGCACACCAAGAAACTCGTAGGCTGCTCAAGGTGCTCATAATAAAACAAATCATGCCCCCTAGGGTTGGAGGCTAGACTGGACATCTGCGGGCAGTGTCCAGGGCAATCCATTGCTCTGCATCGCTCCTCCAATGCTTTGAATGTGCGGACGCGGATGCGGCAGATCGTGCATCGGCGCTGGCCATTCACATGAGCCCAGACATGGGCCCTCGGGGACGGGTTCGCAGGACGATCCCTCCGAGGGGGCCCAGGCGGCGGAGGGGGAGGGGGCGAGGGAGGGTCCCAGGAGGCCAAGGCCGAGGCAGCCCCCGAGGGAGGGGAGAGGCTCTTGACGGGCTTGGCCAGCGCCTTGTTCCGACGAGGGGCAATCGCAGGCCACTCTCCAAGGGCATGAGACACGTATCGTAAGTATTTCTTAAGCAGAGCAGTGTCGTTCTGATACTGCTCTGCTTCAGCATGACTGGGTTGGCTGCCAAGGTTCGCCGCGGCCTTGGCAATCCTGTCAGCTGCCTCATTGCCACTGGCTATCCGAAATTCTTCACTATCGGGGGGCAGCGAGTCCAGATTCTGGTGGGCCTTAACTTTCTTAAGCTTATCGCCGAGAGAGATCAGGCCTCCACCCGCAAGGACTTTGCAACCTGACCATTGGTTACGGCGAGGGTATCCAACCTCTCCGTGCAGCTGCAAAACCCCTTTATAGTCCGAATATATATTGTCAACCTGTCGGGGGAGCCTGCCAGCCGCGACAGCAGCTAGGTGTCCGGCGGCCCCAGAGGTTTGGGCCCCCAGGGACCCCACCCTGCCACTGAAGGTGGCAAATTCGGCGCCATCAACCATGCACACTACGGCAAACCCAGCGGCGTTGAAATTGTGATGACCATGGTACGTACAGCTGCCATCTATAAACAGATCCCCTGTAAACGCTTCCTCAGGACTTAAACAGGGGTCTCGACACCAAAACCTAGCGGCCTCCAACCCAGTGCCAGCGGGAGGGGAGCCCACGAAATCGGGCGTGAACTGAAACCCAAGATGCAGGGGGGAGGTACCAGGAATTGGGTCTTTCAACCTAGCAAGCTCCCCACTAGTGAAATCTTCTCGGGCACTGGCGGTCTTGGGGCACTCCAAGAGGCGGTGTTTGAGATCATCTTTGTGGTGTCCACATAGGCATCCTTGGGGCACATCATACCCTGCTGCAAGTGCGCGCTCCATCGTCCAGATGCTCTGGGTAGCAAAGGCCAGCAACGTGCCTCTCTGTTGCTTGGACAGGTCGGTGGCACGAAGAACAGCGCGCAGTGCTGCAACATCTAGCTGCTCGCCAGGATGTCCCATCTTGGCTGCAGCTCGTTCAGCTAATCGATCGTGCCAGGCAATCTCTAGCTGCTTGGCAATGTAGGCGGGGGAGGTTCCTGGAAGGGGGTACACAAGGCCTGCAGGAGTCACAAACTGGAAGGGACCTTGAAAAGACCACCCCACCCTGGCCAACGACAGGGCCGCCGCACTGAGAGGGCCCCTACAGGAGCCCCAAGATTTAGAAACCCTCGGCAAGACAGCCTCGCCCCAAAGGCTGAGCTGCTGGAGACTGACCACGGCCGTCTCGGGCCGAGTGTGGGCCTCCCAGACGAGACGGTGCCACATAAGCGCGGGCCCGAGGCCCGCTTTCCACAGGGGGTCCTGGAGGATGAGGAGGGCGAGAGTTCGACTCCTTGAGGCACACCTAGGACCTGCTGCAGCTAAATACTGAGTCTGGGCTTGCGCGAGCATCGTGTTGTTGATGCCCGTGACCTCAACTCCAAACGAGGTGGCCGCAAAGAGGCCAGTATTATACAACTTCTTTCCATTTCCTCCAGCGTGCTTTATCATCCTGATACGGGCCATCCTTTTCTGAATCCTGACGATGCGCTCCAAAAGCTTCCTTCCCCTCCTCCATCTCCTCTGGGGTCTTCCAGCTCCGCTTTCAATACCGAGGTTGGGTCCTGAATTGTCCGTGGAGGGCCCCGCGAGCGTCCCAAGGGTCTTCCGAAGCTTGTTTTGGAGGTCTTGGCTGGAGGCGAGCACCTGGCTCTTCTTAGTGGCGATCTGGCACTTAAACTCGTGCTGGATGCAACTGGCTAAAGATCGAGCAGCCACATTCATCTGGCTGATCACTAGGTCATAGCTCTTGCCATGACACTGCAGCAGCAAATCATCGATAAACATGGCAAGACGGATGTAACAGTGTGTGCTGGTCCACTGGTCGAGGGGAGCTAAAACATACATCTGAACCAGATACGTAGCCCAACCGCACCCAGCTATGAGTCCCCTCCATGCTTTTCCAACGCTAACACGCACATCTTGCATAGCAACAAATCGTGAGCTACCATACTGAGATAGTATAATACGGAGCAAGCAACATGGAAATCCAGAAGCAGCAGCTCTCTTGGCAAGGCACTCACGATCCACATGTTCATAGTAGTTAGACAGATCCCAGAGCACTTGGGCAGAGTGTTGGGGATCCTCACTGCACGCATGAAATTCACATTCAAGAGACTGAGCGTAGACCAACTCAACAATAGAGTGTCCAGCTTGATGAGCAATGTATGGCCGCCTGTGGTGATATTCCCACTCGCGGGCAGCAGACCTCCTAAGACGGGCCCACACACGATGCAGAGCAGGGAGCATGCCAATGGAGCGAAAGGCTGGCTGAGCATGTATATCATCTTGCTGTTTCACTTTGAGCATGAGCGTAGATATAGCTCCCCGAAGCTGCGATGGCATGTGCCCTACCTGCTCTATAAGCTCAATCAGCTGGCAGACGAGCCCGGCTTGCTCGTCGTCTAACATGGCGAAGTGACGCGGGTGCACTCCGTCCCACGTTGAGGCCGTACTGTGAGGAAAACTGCGAGAAACCTTGCGGAGGCGCACGGGGGTGATAGGTCCCAGGGCAACTCTGTCGTCCGTCGGGGGGGCCCACTGGGGGGGCTCTTCGGGGTGCACATCCCAGATCTTAGCAAGTCTGTCGGCCTCAACCTGGAGGAGGTGCTGCGGACGTCCTGAGAAACGCTGGCAGTGAACAACTGAGACAGGCCTCCAAGCTTCCAACTTCTTCGTCCACCTGTGAGCCCATCCCACTCCTCCCTTCATAGAAGATTGAACCCAATCCCTCCATTCCTGGCCGTCCTTCCTGTGCTCGGCGGCAAGTTCAGAATCTATGATCTTGCCGACTTGCTCGAGCAGCTCGTCTAGAATTGTTATGCCCAACTCTGCGTTGAGCTTCTGCACTTGGAAATCCTCATGCAAGAGTCCTGTGGCGATACGAACTTCCTGCAGCCCTTGGGCAAGGGCAGAAGAGGTACTGAAAAGCTCTGGGCTGTCTTCTAGACTGTCCAGAGTGTCCCGAAATTCCTGGAGGTCATTATCCTGGATGCTGCGACGAAAGTCCTGCAGCCGATTTTGGAGCCACCGAAGGGGCCTGGAATAGGCCGTCCAGCACTTACGCCCCTGGGTGCACTTGGCACTCGCCGAGACCATGTGGATCTGGGGGGGGGGGGGGGGTGGGCCCTAGGGGTTCTACTGGGCTTGAGGGGGGTGTCTGTTTTCACACTTAGTGTGTGTTCGAGGTCCTGGACGAGGGTGAAATACACGTGGTCCAGGATGGTGGAGCGCTGCTGGTCGGAGAGCGGCTGCGAAGCATCTCCGAGCAATTGGACAGCATAATCTATCGTAGCAGCAGTCTGATGCCAACTTACCGACGGGAGCTGAGGACCGATGGGCACCCTAGTGGGGAGCTTCTGTGGCCTGAGGAGCGTCGGGATCTGGAAATTGTCCTGCACTTGCAGTGACATGAGCACAGGACGGTGGGGAGAAAGAGGATAGGAGGACAAGGTGCGAGGGGGGCGCAGCCAGGGACCTAGGGCCTGGCTGTGGATAAAGAAGTCTAGGGTCGACTTCGTCTTCTTAGTATAATAGGTGGCCGCTTTCGGCGCCGCCACCGCCATCGTGGCACGGGTGAGGAAATCCGTGCCCTTCTGAAGCCTCTCGGGCTGCAAGTTGAAATCGCCAGCAACCAGGAGGGGCTTGCCTACAAGATCTTGCGTCTGGCCAAGAGTGGCCAGCAGGTTCAAATTGGTCTCATTGAGGCCCGCAGAGGCCTGAAAATAAGCGCTCACCAAACCGAACGTTGGGACCCCTGGCGCTTCGATGACCACTCCAGCAAGTCTAGAGAGATCCGTCCCTGGAGGAAAGGAGAGCGGCTGGACCCCCAAGTCCAATCCGTCCCGAACTAAAACCGCCACCCCCGAGACAAGTTCACCCGAGGGGTTGCGGACAGCTGGCGATATATGAGCAAGCCAGCCGCGTGCGAAGCACCATTGTATCTGACGCGTGATGCCGTCCCCAGCATCAAGCCTGCACTCCTGGGCACAGATAAAGGTGAGATTATTAGCAGTGGGAGACTCTACAAAGGCTTTCACTGCTCCCCAGCACGATCCGTTGATCGTCGCGAACGTGTAGAGGCTGTCAGGAAGACGACTTGGTGTCCGTGGCCCCCGTGGCTCCAGCGGCGGCCTCCGCGGCCATCGCCGCAGCCCGCGCCTTCTTGGCCTCGGGGCCCTGCGCGCCCTGGATCTCGGCCATGCCGTTGGCGACGGCCTGGAGGGCGGACGCCGCGCGCACCAAGGACTGCGTCTGGTCCATCGGGGTCGCACCGTCGAGCTCCTCATCGGTGGGGCACGGCACTTGCGCGGCAGTAGGCGGTGCTGGCGGCGCAGCGCCGCTGGGCGCCACAGCCTCTGCCACCTCCATCTCGTCCTCGGGCTTCTGGCCGACGGGCGGGAAGTCATGATCCGCCCCCTGGCGAGGCGCAGGCACCTGCGACCTCTCGTGCTGCGTCGTGAGGTCGTCGAAGTATTGGGCGAGCTCCGCCACCTTCGAGCAGAGGTCTGGCGGCGCCCTGCTGCCAGGCGGCATCCGTGCCGCAAGGACCCCTTGCAGCGTCTCCAAGAGGTCCTCATCCTTGGTAGCCGCCTGCATGGCGGCCTGCTTGGCCATGTTGTGCTGGCTCTCCAGCGACTGGATCTCTTGCTGCGTGGCCTTGGACTCCTGCACGAGCTTGCCGTGGCGTTCG